AAACAGACTGTGGGGTTGGTGTGCAGGGCACAGTTGGCTGGCCTGAGTTATATTCTCTCTCTCAAATAAAATCTTTTAAAGGGGGAGAGGTGCCTGGGTGGCTCAGTCAAGCGTCCAACTCTTGGTTTTGGCTCAGGTCGTGATCTCTGGGTTTCAGATCGAGCCCTGTGTCAGGCTCCATGCTCAGCGGGGAGTCTGCTTCTCCCTCTGCCTCTGCCCCTCCCCTTCAGCTCACTCTTGCTTTCCCCAGTTAATAAATAAAATCTTTTTTTTTAAATAAATAAATAAAATCTTAAAAAAAAATATTCCTCCAGGCGCCTGGGTGGCTCAGTCAGTCACGCGTCTGCCTTCAGCTCAGGTCCTGGTCCCAGAACCCTGGGATGTTGCCTCTGCCTCTGCCCCTCCCCCTGGTCACGAGCGCTCTCGCTCACTCTCTCTCTGTATTTCTCTGTCTCAAATGAATAAATAAAATCTTAAAAAAAAATTCCTCTCCACACACACCTTTGTTCTTCCAGCGGTGTGAGTTAGGCTGCTGTCTGAACGTAAAACACCCTAATTCCACTTCTTTGAGGCTCAGTTTCCCTCTCTGAAGAAGAGAGATGAGAGGCATTGCCCAGGACAGGCCTGGTGGGAAGCTCATGGCCTTGCTGGGCATTCAGCCCTTCATCAGATGTTCAGCTCAGGGAACATGTGAGAGCTCCTTTCCCCATGCTCTTCCCCTGAGGCTCCCGGCGGTGCTTACCCGCAGCCACCTCCACGCAGCCCGCCAGGGTTTCTCACTCCGCCATGCACACTGAGGTCGGCTCTGTGCCTGGGAGCTGGTATGGGGGTCACTGAGGGAGACGAGGAAGTGGCCTGTTCTCCGGAGCTCTCAGTGGAGCCAGGAGGGCCCTGAAGGTGGCGTGGCATGGGTTCCAGAGGGAGCTGCCAGGAGAGGCTAGGCGTGGAATCCCTGGGTCCCGGGATGGGCACGGGGAAGGCATCCACTGAGCAGAGAGGAGGTGGGAAGGAGATGTGCCGGCGTGCATGGCCCAGGGTCCGGGGCGTGAAGGAACCTGAGCAGCGGAGGACCCAACAGGCTGGGGTGGGGGGTGGGCACTGGCGGGTGACCGCTTGAGTGGCTAGGTCTGGGGCCCCAGTGTCTGAATCCATGAAAGAGGAGCAGTCTCTGTGTGCCCCTGTGATGGTGTGGGTGACCCCGCGCAGAGCGTGCACTGCATGCCACGAGCTTGGCAGAGGTGGCCGGCTTGGAGGGCGCATGATCAGGAGCGTCTGTGCCGGGGGCAGTGAGGCAGAGCGGAAAGTCAGCAAATGCAGGGGGAGCGATATGGAGCTCTCATGCTGGGCCCAATACACAGGGTGGTGGTGGTCACACAGGTGACCAGATGGCTGCAGGACACCGGGCCGGGGGCTTGGGAGCACCGTCGGGAGCAGCAACTCGGCCTGGAGGGTCCGGGAAAGCCGCAGAAGGGCTTGGCGAGGAAGTGTCCGGTTGCTCATGAGGACAGGTCAGCTTGGGCTGCCTTGAGCCAACCTGGGAGCCAGCCCTTGTGGGCGGAGTGAGTCTGTGGGGTCCCTGGGACCCCCTGCAGCTCTGCTGCCTAGAACTGGGCCAGACCTCTGAGCCTCAGTCTCCCCAGCTGTACAGTGGGTCCAGTGACCGTTGCCTTCCGTGAGTGTTAGAGGTTGGATGTGGCTTTCAGGATGCCAGCCCAGCACTGGGAATGTGTGTGCTGTAGCTCTTTGCTATGGGGAACTGCAAGCAAAAGTAGACAGGATACTACAGTTAGATATGTTTTTTATCCTGGAATGTTTTAAATACCTAGAGAATACTGACACCCACATCCTACCCGCCCCCTGTCATCCCACACACCCCCGCAGCGGCTCCGGAGTCCGTGCCCCCACCGCACACCCC